TCCTCTCCCTCATCACACCCTCTCCCTCATCACCACCCTTCCTCATCACCACCTCCTCATCACCACCCTCCCTCCATCACCCTCTCCCTCCATCACCACCGTCCCTCATCACCACCCTCCCTCATCACCACCCTCTCCTCATCACCACTCTCCTCATCACCACCCTCTCCCTCACACCACCTCCTCATCCTCTCCCTCACCACCACCCTCCCTCATCACCACTCTCCTCATCACCACCCTCTCCTCATCACCACCTCCCTCATCACCACCCTCTCCCTCACCACCCTCCTCATCACCCTCTCCTCATCACCACCCTCTCCCTCATCACCACCCTCCTCATCACCACTCTCTCCCTCATCACCATCCTCTCCCTCATCACCCCCCTCTCCCTCATCACCACCCTTCCCTCATCACCACCTCCCTCATCACCACCCCCTCCATCACCACCTCCTCCATCACCACCGTCCCTCATCACCACCCTCCCTCATCACCACCCTCTCCTCATCACACCTCCCTCATCACCACTCTCCCCTCATCACCATCCTCTCCCTCATCACCCACCCTCCCTCATGACCACCCTCTCCTCATCACCACTCCTCCCTCATCACCACCCTCTCCCTCATCACCACACCCTCCCTCATCACCACTCTCTCCCTCCATCACCATCCTCTCCCTCATCACCACCCTCCCTCATCACCACCCACTCCCTCATCTTCCTCCTCCCCCATGCACCATTTCCTGCCACCCTACGTTATGGGAGTCATCAATAATCGCGTTTTGCCTCCCATTTCAGATCGTGGCATTTCGTTTTACCCGGAATTATGCGATTTTTCCTTCTGAGTCGAATGAAAAAAAAATTAATAATAAAAAATTATCCCAAAAAAAAAATGATTATTATTTTTGTTTGTGATGATAAAGTAAGTCTAGTGATGGTACTTAATGTTGATGTTTAAGTGTTGTTGGTGGTTATGGAGGTGTTCATGTTACTTATACTTAAATGTTCCAACGTCGACCATCCACATCATCATCATCGTCATTATCTATCTATCTATCTATCTATCTATCTATCTATATATCTATCGATCAATCTATCTATCCAACACATACCAATTCTTGTTACACAAAGAAATAGAAAGCAAGGCAAACTCTACCATACTGTACATGTATTGGGATGTGCCCCTGACGAGAGAGAGAGAGAGAGAGAGAGAGAGAGAGAGAGAGAGAGAGAGAGAGAGAGAGAGAGAGAGAGAGAGAGAGAGATGTTTCACCAGGTACAAGAGAGGTTGAATGATGGAATGATTGTGTGTTGTCCCAATACATCAGACCACACCACGCCCTCTGTTACACTGGGGGTGAGGGTATGGAGGTGAGGGGGGGTGAGGGGTATGGAGTGAGGTATGGAAGGTGAGGTATGGGGGAGGGGTATGAAGGTGAGGGTATGGAGGTGAGGGGGTATGGAAGGTGAGGGGTATGGAGGTGAGGGTATGGAGGTGAGGGGGTATGGAGGGTGAGGGATGGAGGGTGAGGGGGTATGGGGGAGGTGAGGGGAGGTATGGAGAGGAGGTGAGGGTATGGAGGGTGAGGGGGTATGGAGGTGAGGGTATGGAGGTGGGGAGTATGAGAGGTGTGAGGGGAATGGAGAGGGTGAGGGGGGTATGGAGGTGAGGGTATGGAGGGTGAGGGGGTATGGAGGGTGAGGGGGTATGGAGGGTGAGGGAGTGGAGGGTGAGGTATGGAGGTGAGGGGGTGGAGGGTGGATGGGGTGAGGGGGGTATGGAGGTGAGGGGGTATGAGGGGTGAGGGAGTATGAGGGTGGTATGGAGGGGTGAGGGTGGAGGGTGAGGGGTGGAGGTGAGGGAGTATGAGGTGAGGGGTATGAGGTGAGGGGTATGGAGAGGTGAGGGGTATGGAGGGGTGAGGTATGGAGAAGGTGAGGGGGTATGGAGTGAGGGGTGGAGTGAGGGGTATGGAGGGTGAGGTATGGGGGTGAGGGAGTATGGAGGAGTGAGGGTATGGAGGTGAGGGAGTGTGGGAGTGAGGGGGTATGGAGGTGAGGGTATGGAGGGTGAGTTGGGGTGAAGGAATGGAGGGTGAGGAAGTATGGAGGGGTGAGGGGTATGGGTGGGTGAGGAGTATGGAGGATGAGGTATGAGGGTGAGGGGGGTATGGAGGGTGAGGGAGTATGGAAGGTGAGGGAGGTATGGGGAGGAGGTATGGGGGGTGAGGGAGTATGGAGGGGTGAGGGGGGATGAGGTGAAGGAGTATGGAGGTGAGGAAGTATGGAGGGGTGAGGGAGGTATGGGGGTGTGAGGACATGGGGTGAGGGGGAGAGATGAGGTGAGGGGTATGGAGGTGAGGTATGTAGAGGGTGAGGGTATGGAGGGGTGAGGGAAGTATGTGGGGTGAGGGTATGGGAGTGAGGGTATGGAGGGTGAGGGGAGTATGGGGAGTGAGGGGGGTGAGGGAAGGAGTATGGAAGGGTGAGGGAGTATGAAGTCTGAGGACTATGGGGGTGAGGGAGGGAGTGAGGTATGGAAGGTGAGGGAAGTATGAGGGGTGAGGGGTATGTCTGAGGGACTATGAGTGAGGGAGGGTTGAGGTGAGGGTATGGAGGTGAGGGAGTATGGAGGTGAGGGAGTATGGAGGGTGAGGGGTATGTAGGGAGTGAGGGTATGGAGGTGAGGGAGTATGGGTGGGTGAGGGAGTATGGGGGTGAGAGTTGGGGTGAGGAGTATGGAGGGTGAGAGTATGGAGCTGAGGACTATAGGGGGTGAGGGAGGGATTTGGGGTGAGGGTATGGAGGGGTGAGGGGTATGTAGGGGGTGAGAGTATGGGGGTTGAGGAAGTATGGGGTGAGGGAGGATTTGGGGTGAGGGAGTATGGAGGGTGAGGAGTATGTAGGGGTGAGGGAGTATGGAGGTGTGAGGGAGTATGGGTGGGTGAGGAGTATGGGGTGAGGGGGATTGGGGGTGAGGGAGGTATGGAGGGTGAGGGTATGGAGGGTGAGGAATGGGGGGGTGAAGGAGTATGGAGGGAGTGAGAGATAGGTAGGAAAGAGATATGGAGAGTGAGGAGTATGGGGTGTAGGACTATGAGGGGTGAGGAGGGATTTGGGGTGAGGAGTATGGAGGGTGAGAGTATGTAGGGGTGAGGAGTATGGAGGAGTGAGAGTATGGGTGGGTGAGGTATGGGGGAGTGAGGGATTGGGGGTGAGGGAATATGGAGGGTGAGGGAGTATGGAGGAGTGTGAGAAAATGGGGGGTGAGGGGGATTGGGGGGTGAAGGAGTATGGAGGGGTGAGGAATATGGAGGGTTGAGGGAGTATGGGGGTGAGGATGGGTGGGTGAGGAGTATGGGGGTGAGGATTGGGGGTGAGGGAGTATGGAGGGTGAGGGGAGTATGAAGGGGTGAGGAGTATGGGGGTGAGAGTTGAGGGTGAAGGAGTATGGAGTGGAGGAATATGGAGGGTGAGGGGGGTGGAGTGAGGGGAGTATGGAGGGTGAGGAGTATGGGGTGTGAGGAGTATGGGGGTGAGGAGGGATTGGGGTGAGGAGTATGGAGGGTGAGGGAATATGGAAGGGGTGAGGGAGTATGGGTGGGTGTGAGGTATGGAGGGTGAGAGGTATGGGGGTGAGGGAGTA